TGTTGTCCTCACTGCCGGTGATGTTTGAGTGGCCAAGGGCTCCTTGTCCCTGCAGCAGTGGGACGCAGGGGGACACAATGTCTGTCCATGTCCATTGGATCCAGACAGGGTTTGATTCCCTATAAGGCTTCTTCTGAAAAGGTTTGGCTGAAAGCCTGATTTCTCAGTTAACAGAAATCTCCTATGCCTAATTAATGTCAGTCCCATCCAACTGCCCTTCCAGATGGATACATCTACCCACTCCTTTTTTATCTCCGTCAGCCCGGAGCTGAATATATTCTCATGTTAAATATGAGAATACAAAACGTGGGTGCCAAAAGACACAAGAGGAGTTACCTGTTCTGTGAGAAGATCCCTCTGGATGGAGGTGGCCATAGCAGAGCAAAAAACTGCTCTGTTTGCCACCAACATGCACCTGGTCCTTCCGAGCCCTGCTCTACTCCCCCATGGCTGAAACACTCACCTGGGTCAACCAATCCTCAGTCTGGTAGGGGAAAAATAAGTCAGAGTTATTCCTTCCCGCTTATAGGCAGTCTCACTTAGGATGCACCCCTGGGTCTCTTATCAGCACGGTCAGCGCATGCAAGAAGGTGGCTTTGTGGCACCAGGCAGGGACCGATGATGCAGACCCACATTTGGCCCATCACAGCCCCGGAGGACCTTGGTAGGGGAAAATCACTTCTCCAAGGGAGCCACCCCATGGACTGAGGACAAACCCTGCCCTCCCTGTGGCTGTGGGTAAGACCCCGTGCTCATCACCATCACCAGCGCTGTGACGGCCGCACGGCGAGCCCCACGTACAGCTGCTTTCAAAGCCGGTCTGTAGTCAGTTGTACAATATAAAGTGTCTTTGTTTAGTCAACAGAACCTCTAATACATGTGATTTTGTTGTTAATAGAGCTGTAAGAATTTTAAGTACCTCTTGGGAATGTGTCATTTTGGGTTGGCTTTTTTAGGCATTGCAGGGTGCTGCGCTTGTCTTTGTAAACAAGTTTTGAATAAAACATTTGCGCACAGCCGCACTTTGTAAAGTGTCATGCAGGTTTCAGGAGTTTCAGAGAGAATAAATCAACTACAAACTGCTGCCTGGTGGTTGACTTCACTCCTTATAAATAGCTAATTTGGACAACTTTTCTCTGCATGTCAGATGAAATCTAAATGCTGTGCCTATCGTTCCTGTGGGCACACAAATCCCAGCAGCTTGAGCCCCTCTCATGAGCCCGGGGCGCTACAGAAATGCCATGGGGGGGGGAATACCCAACCAGGCTGCTGACCTTCCTTTAGAGGAAATTCTCTGGGGGCACCAGCAGGTAAACGCGCCGGGGAGGAGCAGGAACCTCAGCTGCTGGGGCATTCCCACATTCAGGCCCATCCCCAGCAGCTGCTGGTCATTCTGGTTTGCAGCCATCGCCTCTGAGGAGAACGGGGCCCTTTCTCAGCCGTTAGAAACAGCCCTGCTTGACCAAACCCAGCAGCATGGTGGCCATGCATGCCATGCAGATGCAGAGCTTTCCCCACTCGCCGCTCTGCAGAGCCCTGCAGGGATGCAGCTCACCTGGAGCTCCCTGGGCACTGCAAGCAGGGGCTGCTCCTGGCAGGTGCTGAGCAGCTCTGACCTCTGCCACTTGTTTTGAGATTTTGGCAAGTATTCAGCACGAAAAGGATTGGCCTCTTGCTGTAATAATCAGTGAATGAGGAACTCGTTTGGCTGAATTTCCACCACCCCCCCTCCTCAAATGCAGAATTGCTGTACATTCCTTTATGCAGGTTTCCATAGAGTTGAACTTCTACTTTTTTTTTTTTTTTTTGTGGCCGTTAAAGGGGTCAGCAGTCACTGAACGCCGGGATCTCACTGTTGGGAAATGGGGGGTGGAATTTGGCCACAATTTAACATCTTGCCGGTGGGGTTGGAGGGTGGCATTCAAAGCAGCATCCTGGAAACCTCAGCACCACAGAGGAGAAAAAAGCCTGGAGGAGCCCAGGGGAATTGTGAAGACATTCTGCTTTGCAGATCCTAAGTTTAAATAAGTTATTTCTTCCCTACTTAACTGGGTTAAAATATGATATTCTAGCTTTAATTGCTTCAATCCTATTACTGGTTCCTTTTAGCGAGTGATTGTGCAGCCCCTTGCCGTGGGGAAATCCCCTGATCGCGGGTCCCTGTTATTCAGACAAGTACTCTTTCAGAAGTAAATGCCATTCTTAGCATAGGGAAGTACTTTAGGTCTAAAGGGGTTAAGAAGGCCTCCCTGCATTCAGAAACATGCAGGGGTCCCACCGTGCCAGTTCCAGCCTTTTAAACTCTTTCCAGCTTTTTTTCTTGCAACAAATCTGTCTGACTGCCACCAGGACATAGGAAGCGTGTGCCTGTCAAAGAAATCAAGTTTACTTTTTCTGACTTGTTAACAGAGGCAGGGTATAAATAGGGCTAACGCTGCTCAGACTATTAGCATTTCTCTTAAAATAAGGGGTGACTTCCTAGGACCTTTAATCCAATGAGGTCCAAACCAAGCTGCTCAAGCAGGACAGGCAGCAAAGGAGCTTGCTGAAGCTTTTACAGACATCAGGTGCACTCGGGTTCCTCGAAAATTTAAGGCTGACCAAAAGCAGCCCCCCAGGCAGACAGGCGCTGCCTCCAGCTCGGTCACTGCCGCTGCCCAGGAGAAGTTCTGAGATGGTGTTGGTGTTGTTCACGCGGTGGATGTGGATCTTGCTGGGGAAGAGCAGTGTCCTGTTGCTTCTGGAGGTCTCTCTGCAAGGGAGAGCTTTGCCCCCGATCCGGTACTCGCACGCGGGGATATGCCCCAATGACATGAACCCCAACCTGTGGGTAGACGCGCAGAGCACTTGCAAGAGGGAGTGCGAAGCCGACCTGGTGAGTGATGCGCTTCTGCTCATCCGTGCGTGGCGGGCGGTGGGTTTTGTTGGCGTTTGCTGCAGGCAGCAGAGCAGCGGCGCCGCGCCGGACTGAATTCAGACAGCACACGTATTTAATTGACCCGTGACCTGTGTGTGATAGACAGGGTCTGACAAATTATCAGCGAGGCGAGGAGGTGTGTGACAGCTGTCACTTGTGCTGGTGTGGGTACAGAGCTCATTCTGTTGGATCATTTTTCTTGCTTTCTTGTCAAAAGAAACATCAGAATTTGATACTCTGGAACTCGGCGTGCCGTGGGGTCGATCCGCAGTATTTTGCAGCGTCACAATGTTCTTTATTGTTGGTAGCCATCATCAGTGCTTAATACTCCTGTGGGGAGCTGTGTATGAAATCATCTGATTTAACACGTAAGTTGTCAGCCTTTGCTGCACTTGAAACACGAAGCATGCTTGGCGTGCAGAACAGGAGCGCGGTTAAAATGACCAAGCAGATGTTCTCTATGATGCTCCCAGCTCTAAATGTGCTTAACTCACAACCCTAAAACGCATTTTTCAACCTGTCAGCGCTGCAGCTCAAGCTGGCATCTGACAATACCTGCTCTTCCTGCCTCTTACAGCAACAGCAAAGCTCCTGCAGCCCAGAGCAGGCTGACAGCGCACGTACCAGGCAGGAAGGAGTCGCTGTGTCCGTGCTCCATGGCAGTGTTGTTTCTGCAGCGCTGAAAGCAGGGGGAAAAAAAAAAGAGGGGAAAAAGGCCGGTCATCAAGTGAACAAAGAGATTTGCTCCACGGATCCCATGTGCTATGAATGAAAGTATTCTTTCTACTTTTGCCCTTCTCAATTAAGCCTTCTTTATTTCAACTACCAGGTGCAGCAATGAATATTAAAAGCCTTGTAAAAACCCAGAAGCAATGGCAGCAGATGATATTGTTTTAATAATTTACTGAAAGCTAGAAGTCACTGGATAAAAATGCTCATTTAGCCTCGTGTGCCTGCAGAGACCTGGGGACTCGTGTGCAGTGCTCTGCAGGCAGACAGAGCCACAAGCTTTGCTAAACCGTGCTCCTTAACCTCATCTGAAACCATTTTGCAACTTTCCTTCTGAAACCTAGCAATGTGCAGCTGGAAATGGGGAAAGAGCTGTGTTATTAGGTCATCTTTTTTCCCAATAAGGAAAGCATACTGCACTCAAGGGAAGCTATTTAGTTTGGCAGCTTAAAAAACACGCTGTTCTCACTTACAGAGAAATTTGGTGGATTTCAGGGGGGTTGTGGAGGTTTAACACACACTGGAAGTGTGCCCTGGTGTGTAGCAAGGTTCTTGGTCACTTAAAGTAATCCATACCGACAGCTGCGTGTCAGTGCACACAAATCAAATACCTTTTCTGTACAAAAGACAAAAATCCTGCTAAAATTAACCACTATTTAGAGCTGACAGTGGCTAATAAATCATCAGAAGAGCGATGCTGCGTTTGAACACAGGGCTAAAATAGGACAGAGAAGCCATAACGAGCTGTTTGGGGTTTGTTTTTCTAAACACCATAGAAAAATTATTTTGGGAGCAAGAATTCTCTTACTTCTGAAATATTCTATTATTTCCTCTACAATGTGAACAATTACAAATCCTTGGCAGTTTCACCCCCAGAAGCAGGCTGTTAGTCTCGGGGAATTCAAATAATACTTTACATACTTTTCTGGAAAATAAGACGGATTACTGCCCACAGCCATATGATAAGTCTTTCCATCCGCTCTTGTTTCTCAAGGCTTGTCCTCGGGCATTTCGGAGAGCGCCGAAGGGGGGTTGTTAGCTCTGTAGTCAAGGAATCCATGTGACTCTAGGAGAGACCGACGATGTTTAAGCAGTAGCAATGCATTCTCCTCTCTAGAAGCTTCTCTCAGAGACCTTTGCAAACCCCCGCATGCTGAGCCTCCTCATGGGAGCTGCTGGAGAGGGTTACACGTTGCTGGCAAGGACTCTGAGTTTTGGACCACGGATCTCTGTGGCAAAACTGGGTCCACTGAACTTGAAGCCTTGAAAGTTTCTGGGCTCTCTGCTTGTTGAGTCCCTGAAGAGGTCTTAGCTCTGTCCCCAGTAACGAGCAGGTTGCTTTCTTTCCCTGCAGGAATGCGAGACCTTCGAGAAGTGCTGCCCCAATGTCTGCGGGACGAAGAGTTGCGTGGCGGCTCGGTACATGGATGTCAAGGGGAAGAAAGGGCCGGTGGGGATGCCCAAAGAGGCAACCTGCGACCGCTTCATGTGCATCCAGCAAGGCTCAGAGTGCGACATCTGGGACGGGCAGCCCGTCTGCAAGTGCAAGGACAGGTGTGAGAAGGAGCCCAGCTTCACCTGTGCTTCTGATGGGCTCACCTACTACAACAAGTGTTACATGGACGCAGAAGCTTGCATAAAAGGCATTACTTTGAACGTAGTCACCTGTCGATACCATCTCACCTGGCCAAACACCAGCCCAATCCCACCAGAAACAACAGCTCGCCCGACTACGGCCTATTCTGAGACGACGATCATCGATATCTTGCCACCGGCATTGGTGAACAACCCCGTCCATCAGTCAGTCTATGTGGGAGAGACTGTCAGCTTCCTCTGTGATGTTACAGGGAGACCCAAGCCGGAAATTACGTGGGAGAAGCAGGTTGAGGGGAAAGAAAAAGTCATTATGAAGCCAAATCACGTCAGAGGGAACGTTGTGGTCACTAACATAGCCCAGCTGGTCATCTACAACACCCAGCTGCAAGACGCGGGTATCTACACCTGCACTGCCAGAAACAGCGGCGGCCTTCTCAGGGCTGATTTCCCACTGTCCGTCATCAAAGGAGAACCTGCATCCAAAGAAGCTGCCCAGAACAGAACACACTTTCCAACCGATGAGTGCTTGAAGCAACCAGACAGCGAAGACTGTGGAGAAGAGCAGACCAGGTGGTACTATGATGCAAAGAAAAACAACTGCTTCACTTTCATTTACGGGAACTGTAACAGCAACCTCAACCACTTTGAGACCTATGAGAACTGTATGTTAACGTGCATGAACGGCCCAATCAACGTTTGCAACCTACCAGCCCTCCAAGGTCACTGCAAAGCCTACGAGCCCAGATGGGCCTACAACAGTTTGACAAAGCAGTGCCAGTCCTTCATTTATGGTGGGTGTGGAGGTAACGAGAACAACTTTGAGAGCCGGGAGGCCTGCGAAGAGATGTGTCCCTTCCCAAAGAACACGCACTGCAAAGCTTGCAAGCCGCGCCAGAAGCTGGTGACGAGCTTCTGCAAAAGCGACTTTGTGATCCTGGGCCGCATCACGGAACTGACCGAAGACCAAGACTCAGGACATGCGCTGGTGACAGTGGAGGAGATTCTCAAAGATGAAAAAATGGGATTAAAGTTCCTGGGGAAGGAACCCCTGGAAATAACGCTCTTCAACATGGACTGGAGCTGCCCGTGTCCCAACATGACCACAGTGGACGGTCAGCTCATCATCATGGGAGATGTCCACAACGGCATGGCTGTCCTGCAGCCAGACAGCTTTGTGGGCACCTCCAGCATCCGGCGCGTACGGAAACTCCGTGAAGTCATCCACAAGAAAACCTGTGAGCTTCTGAAAGAGTTTCTAGGATTGCATTAACCTCCTTCACACATGTCAGCCTTCCAGACCTGTGTGTTACGTAGGGCTAACAAGGGCTAGGCTAGTGCACAAGCTAAACAAGCTGCTTGAAGATACACTGTAGGAATTATGCAGAACCCTTATTTTAATCCATTAATGATGCTTAGCAACAATGTAGTATGGTCTTTGGCAAGCACATAAAACAGCAGCAAAAGGCTATTGATCTTGCATTGAAATAAATTTGTCCATATAGGAATGCCATTTAACTAGATGACTCACTGCAGTAATTATACAATTTTTATATAGCTTCTATCATATATGACGGAATTCATAGCATTCGTGTAGCTAATTGATACACAGCTAAGTAATATATAATATCAACTTAATCTGTCTCATTTACAGTATGGAAATGTGATGGTAAGTTGTTATAAATAAGTCATACTCTTGCCTCTTCGTAGCAGCACTAATATATTTCAAGAGAAAAGCCTGTAAATTATTGTCTGTATTTACAATTGTGCAAATCTAACCAATCTATGCACTATCAGCTTCCTTATTTTAATTCCTAGCTGTTATCCTTTGCATTGTACCTCATTTCTGAATGGCATCTGCTGCCTGTCTAGTAATCCTCATTTGAGAAAATTCCCACAGAGGAACTCCCCAGATCTGAAATGCAGGACAGCAGGTCCATGCAAAAGGCCAAGGCACAATCTCACCCCTGAAATTACTTTTCTATCATAGCAATGTCAGCAAACACTCTTACTCTATTGCACTTTCCTATTTTTGTTTTAATCAGCACGTCGTCTGTCTCATGCAAACTCCAGGCAAGGAGCTGGCTCTGTGCTGCCAGCTGTCATGCTTTTGAAAATCCTTTACATTTGCAGCATGGCATGCAGCGATGTACTGCTTAATTTCATCAGAAAGCCTGTTTGTGTAGTTGGGAAAGCAAAATAAAAGCAGCCAGAATGAAGTTCAAAATAGGAAAGTGCCACACAGTCTGCAGAATGCATTTTGTGTGCAGTCATGAAGGCAGTGAAGGGCTGCACAGACACGCAGCGGACGCTTTAAAGGCATTTATCAATCTGATCGTTTTAGGGCACACTTTCAAGCTGCCGAAAACGTTTTGCACAGAGTCAAGTGCACGAATAAAAAGCCTGAGAGACAGCGCGAGCTGTGGGTGTGAGTGTGTGTGTCCTCATTTTGACATTTGCATGCCAAAAACGTGTAACTTTTGCCTATGCAAAAATCCTTAAATAAAGAAAAGGCTGTTCCTGGAAAAAGTCCTTCCTCCGATGGGGAATATCCCACCTGGCAAAGAGGGGAGAGCTGCACGGTGAGTCTTAGCCGTGGCACCTCCTGGTTGGGTTGGGTCACCTCGTTGCCCAATGTGCCCCACTGCGGTGTGAGGGCATCTCAGGGCTGGGGAGGGAATCGGAGAGCAAGGAGGGTAAACTGAGGAGGTAAAGGTGGAGCCCATCTCCTGTTTTCCTGAAGGGTTTTGTGCCCAGCAGCCATGCTATGGTCAGGGTCCCCAGGATGGGCTCTTCTGGTGGTCTGGGCTTGAGTTGCGTTCAGAACACACCAGCAGCAGGAGCAGATGTAAGTCTGTGCTTACCTGTACAATGTCAGAAGAGGCTGGGGGGAAGGGAGGGGAGCCTGGATCAGATTGCTGGTCAGGTAAACACCTGCTTATTTTTTCTATTGTATCTTCCTGAAGTGCATGTGGAAAAAATCCCAGTTCAAGATTCAGAACATTTGTGTTCTGCTGAGGGCTGCTCTCTGGAGCCGAGCGCTGCCAGCCCTGTGTCCCCCAGCTGTGCAGCCCTGCCAGATCAGCCTGGGTTGTGGCATCTGTCATTTCCCAGGGAAGCAGTAGGAAGTGGTGAGCTCTTGCCATACCTTCCAACGCTGAGGCCCTGGGGGACAGAGCTTTAATAAAGATTGACTTTGTACGGTTCTTTCTTCCAAAAGCTGAAGGATGGGAGTGGGAGTGTTAGAGAGGCTCTGGAGATGCGCACCCAGTTGTTCCAGAATTTCTGAGAGCAAAAAGTGCCCCTTCGTGGCTTTTCCAGTGAGCACGGCGCTGTGCCTAAGCCTGGGCTCCAACCTGCATTCCAAACTGCATGACCCTGAGGCAGGAGGCGCCGTGCCATGGGCGACACATGCAGAGGGAACTCAGTCCCTGGCTGTCCCATGGCACAGGGCTGCCCTAACCAGATCCTCTCTACCTCCTGACCTTGGAGAGCTTAGCTCACCACTCCAAGCTAAAATTTTAGTTCCGCCTCTTAATAAATCCTTAAGAAGCCTAAAATTCAAGTCTGACCAGTCCTCCAGCTGTGGAAAGTATACGCACAGGGCCAAGCACTACAGGGTGTTGTTATAGCCCTAGCAAGGCTAATGGGTGCCTGCGTGTGGCTGCTGATCAGAAAGTCTCTCTCGCATTGCTCACACTCCCTTGTCCATCCTGCTCCCTGGGCGCACGTCTCAAGGTGATCCTAAGGTTGTCAGAAATTTGAAGGGGAACGCCCATTTGTATTGAACACATGGGAGAAAAGGAAAAGCCTGTGTGTCTCTCCTGGCCCAGGAGGTGGGCAGGACCCACTGACCCACATCGCCCGGACCAGTGCCTTGTGGGGGAAGGCCTGTAGGTCCCACAACCCACACCAAGCTTTGCAGCAGGAGGGTGCCCAGCGATGGAGACATGCAGGGACAGAGGCCCACAGAGATGGAGACCCCCGGGGTCCCAGGGCTTGAGGGATGGAGCAGGAGGTGCTGGTGGATCGGGAGCACGCAGAGCCGCTTGCCCACTTCCCAGTCTGAAAATGAAAAGTGTAACACAACAATCAGCAAACCCTGCGGCTAAAGCAAGATGGAATCCATCCAGCATATGGATCTGAAAATGAGTCACAGGTTATTGCGCAAACCATCTGCACAGCCAAGCTCTATTAGAAGGACAGAATAACAGCAAAAAAGTGATGGTGAGCAGCTTGTGACAGCACACCCAGAGTGCAGGTCCTGGCTGGCATGAGGGACGGGTGGCAGGGCAGCTACACAGAGGTAGGAGGTGGCATCAACACAAACCCAGAGTGGCTGAGGTCAAGAGAAAGAGGAAACTGGGAAGGAGGAAATATTCTCATTGCAAGGGCTGGAGACGAGGTCAGGCGGAAGCTTTGGTGGGTGATCAGCTCCAGAAGTAGGAACAGAGATGGTGACACCACTGGGGTGTGATTCAGATGGCAGAGGTATTTAAGAGCTTAGCTCACAGTTGTTTGGAAGCAAATCAGGGGCTCCTGCAAGAACTTGTGCCTGCCATGGGCCTCAGCTGGCACCAGATGGGCACCACTGCCCCCACTTGAAGCACCTCCTGCCCCACATTGCTGTAATTCACGTGGTGTGTGCAGAGCAAGGAATTCTCAGTGTTAGACAATTCCTAGGAAAAGAGTATGGCCAGAGTGGATATCCACATCATGGGTGCTGGGGGCTTCTGGAGTCCATGAGAGCCCTTTGCTGCTCTTCAGCTGTGAGGACATCGCCCAGGGTGGGAGCTGTGAATGTGGAGCCCATGTTTTTATACCAAATATTTTGTGTTTTCCCTTCATGAGCTCTGGTTACTTATTGACTATAAGTGACCTCCAGCTGCCTTATAGATTTACAGTTGCTGTCACAGGACAAAAAATGAGTCCCGTGTCCAGGGCCTGAGAAGTACTCTGAATGGAGGTTGCACAGCTGAATAAATGTCCCGCCAGCCCTTTAAATCTTTGGGAAAAAAACAAAAAAGCCAGCCTGGGCTCCTGATCTACAATGCAAACACCAGTGGGATACGAAGATAACACTGTGGCATTATTGGACGTAACTATCAGCTCCAAAAGCAGCCCAGCCTGCTCAGTTCACAGCTATTTATGGCTCGGCAAATGATAAGACATTCAGACTTGAGAGTTTGGAAATGGAATGGAAAGTCTTTCAAAGGCTGTTTGGATTTCAGCCAGCAAACCCCAGTGGTGGCATTTCACTCTCTGCCTGTCGCAGCCTCCCCTCAGCCAGCTCTCCTTGGGCCAGCACCGAGCGCTGCTTAAGGACTCACAGCGCAAGTTCTCACCCCCTCATTTGTCAGTGATGGCCAGAAACGCAGACAGAAAGGAGGAGGCTGGAAAAAGAGAGAATGAGGAAAAGAGAGAGGAAGGGGAGCATCTCTGCACCTTAAGCTGGCACAGCAACGTGGTGGTTGGATTGTATTGAAAAAGAGCTGCCCCTTCAGAAGTCTGTAGCTTCTCTCCCTCCTTTGCTCCACTCCTAGCGCACTCAGACCAAAGTGGGTATTGTAACACGTGCAAAGCACATCACTTCCTCTACTGCTTGAAATAAATAGAAAAGCAACAGTCATAAATCTCCAGAATCAGATGGTATTCACCCAAGGGTAAAAGTAAGAAATTGCTTAACTATTAACTGCAGCAGATAACCTTTGCTTCAGTCTGCTGCAGCAGCGGAGGGCTGGGGGTGGCACAGACACAGCTAATTTGGGATTCAGTTCCTAGGGACTGGGCACCAAAACTCAGCAAGTCTGGTAAAAAGGGTAAGAGACAGTAAAAGTCACCAGGCTGACCAGAGTGTGATACAGAGAGGAAGAGTCTGCAGATGTCAGCAGGGCAAAGAGATGCTGCAGAGCTTTCCTTGAAGCCACTACAGGGATGATTCGGCTTGGTGGAGCTGACGTCGATTTCTGTAAGGCTCCAGGGGAAATTCTCACCCTGAAAGGTTAAGGCAACGAGGCTGCCTTGCAGCAAGACGAGAGGCAGTCTACTGAGTCCAGGACTGGTTAACACAGGACAGGGGTGAGAACAGAAGGTCAGCTTTTCATCGGGGAATCCATCGGCGGTGCCCCACGGAGCCTTGCATGGTGGCCAGGGCTGCTTCATGTGAGTGGTTGGGAAAAGGGACTGGAGAGGCTGGTTACCAGCTCTGCTGCTGTACAAGATATTTGGGGCTGCAAAAAGGGAAGCTGGCTGCAAGGACACTGCATGATAAGCTGCAGGATATCGTAATACCCGGCAGCAGGATGACAGAACAGCAGATGAAATAGAATATTGCTTAATAATCTACACTGGGTGGAAAAATCAGTCCTAATTGCACTGCTGTGATACCTTCAAGCAAGCTATCCTCGTCTGAGACCTGGCTGATCCATCATCAAATTCGGGACTGAGTTTCCCCAGATTTGCCGCTCTCTGTATTCCGGGTCCCCACCTCAGCACACAGGGCAGAGCCCACAGGAATGTAATTACAGGAGCCAAACCCGAGCAGCTGCTCCCACCGCGCCCCGGCGAGCGG